TTTTTTTTTTTTTTTTTTTTTTTTTTTTTTTTTTTTTTTTGGCTCTTTCTACCCCTCCAAAGCCCAGGCTGAGCTCTCTGTGCAATACATTGAAAATAAAATAAAAAGGAAATGTCATCAGGCAGCCGACCCAATTCTTTCCCTTTTTACCTCAGCATAATTCCACTGCATCGGCAGGGAAGCCAGGTAACAGCCAGATGACCGCAAGCCAAAGGAAATGCTTGGCTGCTGGAGGCAGCAAGGCTTTGTCCAGCCGCCACGCTTACCCATACCTTCCTCATGTCTGGAGCCTGTGCTGATTCACCGCCATGGAAGGACCCCAAGGTAGTTTGGGGTTTCCCTTGTGTGGCCTCCTGCCCGCTGCAGGCTGCTCTGCAGGCAGTTCAGTGCCCAGATGAGGTCCTTGTCAGAACCCAGACGAGGTCCACTCCCTGCCCCACGGCCTCGAGATGCTATTCATCATTCCCCTGGCTCCATTGGCTCATTGACTCCATAGGAAGCAGACGGAGTGGGCTGGAAGCAAAACCAGCCAGCCAGTGATAGACTGAAGTCATCTTGAGCCGCCTGTGCTGCTCCTGCCAGAGGGGACCACCAAAGCCCCTCTGATTCCTGGCTCTGTGGCCCCCAAAGCAACGGTGAGTGCCTCCACTGTGTGACATCCAGTCCGGTACGATGACCCAAGAGCTGTAGCAGATGCCAGCTGGAGATACCAGGCTGGATATTAAAGAAGCATTTCTTCTCAGAAAGAACGGTTGGGCAGTGGCACAGCTGCTCAGGGAGTGGTGGAGTCACCATCCCTGGAGGTGTTCCACAGCTGTGGCGATGGGTTGGGGTTGGGCTTGGGGATCTTAGTGTCCTCTCCAACCTTAATGATCCCATGATTCTAAGTGTGAGCAGAGCTCAGCAATGTCTCAGATGCCAGGCTGGTTTGACCAGAGCAACCCTTCTTTTTATGGGTGCAAGCAGAACTCCTTGACTTTGGAAAGACTGACTTTTATTGAAACTGCACCCCATTATGCTGTTTATGAGCACTGTGGAAGCCTCTATAGACATCCAACAGTATCAAAGTTCTGTGATGGCAGCTTCTGCAAGGGCTCACAGGATGGTGCTCCTTCTTCCCATGGGCAGCACTTTTTAAAGGAGGGAAGAGAGGGAGAGATTTGTGTACCAAGCCCCGGAATCACCAAATAACAGTATCACTTCAGTTGGAAGGGATCTTTAAAGATCATCTACTCCAACTCTCCTGCAATGAAGTGAGACACTTACAGTTCAGAAATGCCCCCTCTGGGGCATGCAGGAAGCTCTCGAGTCCCAGTGCTGTGCTCAACCCATGGAGACAAGCAGCTTCAGCTTCCTGGTAACTTCTTTGGATCAACTGAACTGGTAAGAAGATGTCTTTACAGACAAAAAGCAACTGTCCCTGATGGCTTCCCAGCCCATGTGCCACCTGCTCGGGTTGACATTCAATTCATAGTTCTGAGGCTGGCAAAGGTTTGGGTAGAGCTCAGCCAACTCCAAATGCCACGCTGTTTTCAGGACACATCACGTTCCTGTGTTTCAGACAGTCTTACTCTCTGTTGATGAAAAAAAAAAAAAGATCGGTTTGTGATTCAAGGCCAATTTGCTGTACAAAGAACTTGGTTTCCTGTTATCAGTCCTAGACTTTCATCAGAGTAAACATCCCCTCTGCATGTCCTGTGAAGAAATACAAGTAGCATGAACAGAATATATCACGGCATGCCCATAAGAGCAAGCAGCATTCTGTACGTGCCCGCACTGCTCCCACAGGTAAGCGATTCCCTAAAGCCAGGGAAGGACCTGGGGCTTTCCTGTAAACAGCAGCAACCCAAAACTTCCTGAAGGATGCTTGGGGTTAGGTCTGCACGACAGATCCCCTCCTTAATATGTGTTGAACACAGAGTTAAATCCAATCTCTAATGGACAAGACGACCTCCAGAGGTTGGGCACAGATCTTGAGTCCTTGCAGAACAGTTCTGACCAAGGGGGCACGGTGGTACCACTGCTCTGCCCGGCCAGACATCACCGAGACGGCGTTGAATCAGCGGATGTTTTACACCTGGAGGTGCCTTAATTACTATTTTTCTAGCCTATACATGACAAATCTCACAGCAAAGTATTTAGAACACGTCACAAGAAGGCCGATCGATTCCGTGCTGGAACAGTAGGTCATTGATGTGCAGGGAAATGCCATAGGAGCACATCTGGCACACGGATACCCAGGGCGGTGTTTCCTATGGAAAACTCCTATTAGGCTTCCGAGCCTCAGTCTATGTGTAAAGGAAGGATATTCGTGCCAGCCTGCCTGAAATTAGCCTTGGAAGCTGCCTACAGAAAGTGTGCCAGCTGAGATGCAAATCCCTCTTACTTACCTCGTGATGACAACAAAAGCCAGATGCAATTTTACTCATCCATTAACAAAAAAGACTTTGCCCAGCGCCACACGTGGGTGGGATTCCATTGGGGTGACACGATGCTGCTGGCACAAAGATCTTGGCCCCTGAGAATGGCAGCTCTGTGGCATGACAAATGCAGGCACTCGGCTCCGGCAGCCACGACTACATACTTTACCTGCTGACTAAAGAGGAAAAATGCAGAAAGTCTGAAAATTAAAGTCTCAGCCAAGAGAGAACAACCTGAAGGAACAGTTCTTCAGATAAAGGTTCATTATTAGAACTGGACTCGTGAAAACTACCAGCTGGTTTCCAATCCCATTTATAGCAGGGATAGTCAAGATAATTCAAGGGTTTGGCTACAGAAATCCAGTGGGGAAAAAATGATAGCCCATCTCATTTGGGCAGTGCTGACAACATATGATTTCTGCTTTGTGGGTATCACTGCGGGCAGAGGCTCCCCCGTGCTCCACTGAAATCAATGTCAAAGCTCCTAACTCTCACGCTTTTTAAAAGTGTGAAAGTGTCTTCGTTTCTCCCACTCATGTGTCACGTTTCATTTCTTCTTTCTGCGCTCCTTCCAAACCCGAAAGTCAGATGAGCTGATTTCCTAGATCTCACGCGGCACTGGAAATCCCAAAAGAATCCTCAGCTTTCACGTTAAACCCAACCTGACACCTGTCCCCACCATCGCTGCATGGCACCAGAGCTCGGGGTTATTTTCTCGCTGCGGCCAATGTATTTAAGGATGTGGTTGAGACAATGCTAAACATTTTCCGTTTGACTTCAGTTTGACTTTCAATTTGAAACAGAGATACCACTCTTCTTGTTAAACGCTATCCCAGAAAGAGGGAACGATTTTTAGAAGCACCACCAACCTGTTGGTGGCTCGGCAGGTGCCAGGATACCCACAGCACGTCTGCCCAAAGGCCTGCGGTCCCCAGGGACAAGAAGGGCTCCCCTTTTTCACCAGTTGTCTGAAAACCCTACACAACAATCGCTTTCCCCTCACGGAACCTTCCCAATATTCAGGGTTTTAAAACGGCTTGTCATCTTAATTGCTGTTTGTATCTCTGGCAGATCAAAGGGAGGATGTCTGTGATTCTTTGTATTACTCATTGTTATATTAACACAAAGATCACATATTCATTTATTTTGCTTGAAGAGGTAACAGTCTCCTTTCACTGCACGCACATAATTACTGTAAGCATGCAGGGGACTTGCCAAATGATGCACTGGGGGAAGGAGGAGAATCTTTGAAGAAAATTGTTCAAACGTAATTTAGTTCACTAATTGGCAGGGGACCGTTACTAACGAATTGCTTCTGTTTTATGTCAGTAGTGAATCAGGTTGACGATGTGTAACATACATGAAGTCAGTTAATGAGTGTTAACTAGAAATGCGCCTGAAATACAAGAAAGAGGTGGTTTTTTTACCTTTAGCTGGCCAAGCAGAATCACCAATAAATAAAAGGATACGTGTAAGTGGCTTAGATGATTCCAATCTGCAGTGGAAAGACTTTTCTTAGAATCTGCTGGTAACCACAAGCTTGTGGGAAAGAAAAATCAGACGCTTACTGTGGCAGTTCATCACAAGTTACTTTATTTCTAACCAAGCCTGAAATGAAAATGACTAGAAGTCGTTACCGTAAAATAGCTGATTACAAGGCAGTGCGCACTGAGCCAGCGAGCCTCTGGCCATGGCTACAAGCAGGGCAGCACTCTCAGCTGTGGATTCACTTGTGGTGTCTGTGTGCTCACTCTCACTGTGTGGTAACATGAGACAGCCTCCTTCACTTTCATTGCGGGACAGGACACTTTGCATTCTCCGGTGCGCACAAGGCAGACTGACAGGCTTCCCTCTAGTAGCCATAACCACAGGCTTGTTTGTCTTTCTCCTGTACGCACAATACAACAACATAACGAGGCTTTGGGGGCAGGCAGGAGCCAGCAGGCTGAAGAAACACAGAACCACAACCTCCAGGAGCACCAGGGCACAGCTTTCAGGTCAAGGCAGGTCCCGAGCTGTAGCTGAGCTCAAAGAACGCAGGCCTCCCATGGATGTGCAGGCATGAGAGTAAATACCATTACAAAATCTGGGCAGAAGGAAGCTTTCTGGTTTGCTCTGGCATGTGAACAAACTGGCTTATTAGGCCACAGGTGCAAATGTGAGGACTCGGGACTGAAAGTGAGGATAAAATGGAGAACTCTCATGTTCTACAAGTTTTGTGAAACAGGCATTAGGCCACGAAACCTGCCAGACACTGCTGCGGGCTGAGGGGCTGCCAGCAGTCTGTCTGCCCAAGGAAGGACAGGGGTGGCATTAGAATTAGGATTGCAGTGCCTTATTCAGCTACCTGGAGGAGGTCAGTTGAACATTGAGGGCTGTACACCCAGCCAGTCAGCCAGCTCCTTCGGGTGCCTGGCCCAAAAAGCCTGCATCTGGCTTCATGTACCTGCCAAGCAATCCTTTCTGTGGAGCTGACACAGGCCACAAAAGGAACACCTTGTACCCCAAACCACTACTGCCCTTCAAGCCCCATCCTGAAATGTCTCTGATGAGTATCAAAAATGCCAGGAATGCTGCTACATTACTAGGGACACTACGTTGCATTCTAGTGCTTTTTCATTTCCCCATCCCATCTCCATCATGTAAGATCAACTTTGTGTTGGGAAGACGTTGTTCTAAATCCCCCTCTGGCATTTCAAATTTCATTATCTCTTTCCTTATAAAGTACAAAGTAATGCAGAGTTTGTTCTCTGAAAATCATTTTTACAGTGTTTAAGACTAACTAAGATCATTTTGCTCCACTCCAATAATAACCATTAGGTTTTTACACCTCTCCAGTAATAACTTGGCAGAGCGTCAGCCAGGCAATCAACACGCCAGAAAACACAGCACCTTTGCTCCAAAGGACAAATTCTTTCTTTTACTGCTGCTGCTCTCTTCACCTATATTTGCCATCAAGAGGTACCTTTATAAAAGTTAGGTTTGAAACATGGTGTGTTTCAACACCAGCTGTATTGGGTAACTATGCCTCTTGGTACAAAGTGGATTGCTGCTTCAGAAGTAAGTTGATATTATAACCATAGCAACACTACTTGCAGAGTCAGAAAGAAAAAACAACATTCAGCAGCAACAGCAGAAAATGTGTATAGATTACTTTATCTCTGCATTCAATAGAGATAAAAACCCTTCTCTGAAAAAAATAAAATCTATGCTCCGGAAAGAGTAGATAGAATGAAGCATAATCTAATGAATCATGAAACTTGTTTGCTGCCATCGATATCTCAGAGAGCTCATCCTGAAATAGTGCTGTTGATATTGATGACATATTGGCAAGGGACAGCCCAGCCAGAGAGAAACAAATTTAGCCAGTGGGATGTGTGTGGTGGGAGGGAGGGAGACAAAACAGAAAGAAGCACACAGATCCTGTCCACATGAAATCACCAACCCTCAACTTTAAAACATGAAACAAGTGCTGTTGGCCTCCAGTCATGACAGCTGTGGTGCCTGCTGCCTCCTTGCAATCCAAACTTTGTACAAGACAAAGTATGCAGAAATACGCGTGGCATGTGGAGAGTTAAACATGAGGAGAGAATTAAGGTCTTTACCAGTCAGATGGCAACACAAACTCACACCTTCTGAAATGCATTGTGTGGCAGAACAAACATCATTTCCTGCCTTCCAGAAGCAGCTTCTCTGGTTCACTGACCTTCCTTTTCTTCTTGGGTCCTATTACCTCTTCCTGGCTAAATGCAAGGTTCAGGCAGCTTATCTGTAAGAACCATCAGAAGCAGTGATCATTCTCACGGTACAGGCTCCTGTTAGACAAGTCAAGAAAGACAACTTCCAAATCTACAGTGTGTTTTCCTGGATCCTCTTGCGTTTATTCAGTGTGATCTTGTTCTCCAGTAAAAGCCATTAGGCAAGGAACCAAAACTGGAACACTCACAGGAGCTGAGATGCTGATGTTTGTGAAAGCAACAGGTTCAGTCCCACAGCCTAGAGACAATGGAAGGAGCAAGGAGGCCTTTGAGAAATACAGTCGCTCGTGGGGCAGAAGCCTTCTTCACCAACGTGGGATAGTGATAGACTCAGAGAATGATAGAATGGCTTGTGCTGGAAGGGACCCCAAGGATCACCAAGTTCCACCCCCCATCACAGGCAGGGCCACCAACCTCCAGCTCTGGCACTAGACCAGGCTGTTCAGGGCAACATCCAACCTGATCTTGAACACCTCCAGGGATCCACAGCCTCCCTGGGCAGCCTGTGCCAGCACCTCACCACTCTACCTGTGAAGAACTTCCCCCTGACATACAAACCTTCCTTCCAAACACCTACACCTTCCTTCCTTGAGCTTAAAACCTTTCCCCCTTGCTCTATCACTATCTACCCTTGTAAAAAGTTGATTCACCTCCTGCTCATAATCCCACTGAAGAAAATTACATGGGTCACATTGGCAGTCACTGGAAACAGCCTTTCAGGATGAGACACCATGGAATGATGTACACCATGGAATTTCAGCGTGAGCTGATGGGCCTCTGAGTCTAAAGACTATGTGTGAGTTTGTGAAAAACAACTAAGCAAAGCAAGCTCTGTTTCAGGGGGCATAACTTCCCCCTAGGAAGACACAAGCCCCCCACAAAAATATCCAGAGGCCTAGAAAGCAAAAGGTTAAAGAGCACTAAAAAATATATGCTGGAATACAAGTGGGCAATTCAGACAGATCACAGACAGATGAACGTCCAGAACGACAGCTGAAGTGCTGGCTATGTCATGTAAATCACAAACTCACTTATTCTTGTTATCACAAGACATATTTGCTTCTCTAGAAGAATAATAACATGGAGCTGCAGAGAGCAGCATGTGCTGCTGCCCACCCAGAAGGGACAAAGCACAGAGTCTGGCAGGGTGACCTATCTTGCTCCCGCTGGAATCGAACTGAAGGGACACACCATAGCACACTCTTCAGCTTTGACTCCAAAAGAAAATTTGTTTGGATGAAAGTAAGGTGAATGAAGAGGGAAAATAGTGCTAAACAAGTTGCTAATTCAAAATAAGAGCAGCTTATTCTGGTTTCACTAAAAAATCAGGAGGAGCTCTATGAAGCAGGATAAGCACAAGGAGTTAATAGAGAGCTATTCCAGAACACATCCTGGAGAGAAGCACAAGGTCTCCAGATTACAAAATGTGGTCATTACAGAATTCCCCACCCACGTCATCAAGGCTCTCTTTCTATCTGACCTTGGTATGAGGCTTTGGTAATCTCTACGTAGCAATGGTCTTCCTAATGTGTGAAATAACTGACTGCGGATTAGCAGCAAAACCACCTCAGTTTGCCTCTCTATCATGTTTCAAATTGTTTTTCTTCCCCTCTTCCCTCCTCTTCGTTATGAGCAACACGATATTGGCTAATGCAGAAAGTACAACTTCCTTTCCATGCAAACAGAAAAAAAACAGAACCTGCCAAAGTGGGAGAGGCGGGTTTTCCTTCAGTCTGACAGAACTTCAGCACTGTCCACGGCGTATTTGCTTGAGGAAACTGAGATGAGTGGATCTCTGTGTTACAGCTCCTGACCTGATATCCAGCTGCTCAAACTGGCATTTCAGGCAGTTATTTACTTTCCTTCCCCTGGCATCACTTTAACCTGTCTGCTTCAGTTTTTGAAGCACAGGGCCCTGGGAGTGGAAACACTGCATCTAGACACTCTGCACTGCTAACACAGCTGCAAGACTTGTACCCTGTCCTGCTGGCTGCACGACAAAGTATAGCAGTGATCCCCAGTCTCCAGGCCCCTGGTCACCTGAGGGATTCAGCTCTCTTTCTGTTTTAGCCCAAACCACACAGTGAGCACATCATCCACAGCCGGTGCTTTTATTCCCTCTATCGAGGAATGGACTCTGCAGCACAGGCAGCAACTTGGAGGTTGAGCCCTTTCTTAATTCTCTGCGTGGATGGGATGCTTTTGAGGCAGGAGAAGCAGCCACAAGGAGCAGCCACGACTCCCTCTGTGTGCATGCCCTACAGGAACCTGGAGATTAGGAGTAAAAACATCTATGCAAGTCGTCATGTTCTGCAGACACGCACTATTCATCTGCTGAATGAACAAGATGTCAAACGTGTGAGGTATTTCACCAAAGCCAACATGTCCTGTCCTGCTCCTGCCCTGCTACAAGTTCACATATGAGCTCAGAGGCAGGATCAGACCCCGAGCCCAACTTCCAGGTTCCTACCTTAACCAAACACTTGGGCTTCTTCCCCAGCAATGCGCTCTAAATGGGATTAAGTCAGATCCTACGTGTGTTTATTTGACTTTAACCAGAAAGTAAACCTCTTAAACGGCGCGGTAAAAAGCAGGAAATCCCTCCCATTGACTAAACATACAATCAAAGCCTCCAAAGGTTGATTAATTCTATTTTTTCCCATACTCTGGGACTCTGAACAACCCATAGGCGAGCTCAGGCCGTACCAACGTTGGCTTTTGTCTTACACAACCACTGCAGGGCCTCGGCTCCCCTCAGGTATGGAGCCAGGTGCCACAAGGCCCCCCAAGGGACAACGCTGATGGGGGAACAAGACAGGAACAGAGCCGTGAGCTCCTGGCTGTCAGTCCAGGCCATGGCTCTGCCTAGCTCATAGCACGACGACACAGTGATTGTGAACCTCCCGTGCTGCACAGTACTGCGCTATGTGTACAACGGTCGTATTTTGCCACAGCTTTTTTCTGTGCAATTACAGCTAACTTGTGAATCATGCAAGTGTTACTAATTTCTGGCATAAGACTAACAGGACAGCTGCACATTGTCTGGAGAAGATATCAGGCTAAAAATAGATCAGACTTCAGATTAAAGCCTTCCCAAGGCAGACTGGTGGATGCAGCGCGGCAAGCAGACTATGGTTATGCTCCTATTCTTAGATAGACAAAATCAGTTTCGTGCTCTGCAATTTTCAATCCCCAGCGTCCCCACGTATCCTAGCCAAAAATTCCCAACATAAATTGATGCAAATTTACAGCACTTCTGGCACTTCTGCTTCCGAAGGCATCCTATGTAGAAAAGCTAGAATAGCGTAGGAGCATTCAGCTGTGCCCCCGCTTTGTGCCTGGCCTGCCCCATGCTGAGGTTTGGCACTCTGTAAATCTTATGTCCTCAGAAGAGTTCTCTTTGTCAGGACACCGAGTGTTCAATGTGGTACGTTGTAACCTAACAAATTCAGAAGTGCATGAATGTCAAAGGAAACCCAGTTCCATCAATCAGGCCGGAAGAATAAGGACTGAGATACAAGATTTAGCTGGTGAAACAAGGCAAAACAATCCTCTGCTGCCAGGGCAGCAAGTACATCTAGCGGGGTACACAGATCATCATTAGGAAACTCTTATCAGAGCGGGCCAACGCCTGATGCATCTTGTGATTTTAGCTGCAGATAACTTGGTAGCACAGCAAACATTGCCACTTCCAAAAGCCAAGCCAGCAGCTCTTTAAATGCAGCCCCCAAAACAGGAGGCGTGCCAGGTGACAGACACCTCTCTCCGAGTGAAGGCAGCTCACTGACAGGTGGCTGCTCCAAGCACAGCAAAATCAAGGCTCATGAAGCACATGGTGCTGTTCAGCAAAGAGATGGAAGGAAGCAGACAGAAACCAAATGCAGCAAATTCCATTTAAACAGAAGGAAGAGCTTTTCTTTGCTATGAGCCTGATCAAATACTGGTGCAGGCTGTCCAGAGGGCCGGTGGAGCCTCCATCCTTGGAGGTATTCAAAATGTGAGTGGCCAAGGTGCTTACCCTGCCCTGGGCACGTAGGATGCTCTATGTCCTCTATGGCCTCCAGGTCTTCTGACCTCTGCCATTCTGCGAAGGCGGCACAAAGATTAAAGCTCAGCACAGGGCTCAGCGCTGACTGAGCTCCTATCAGTTTCCAGAAAAGCCAATGCACTGACATCAGTAGAACTAATCCTGATTTTCATCTGTACAAAGTGGAGGAGAATCACGCTGGTAAGCATGAAAGCCAAATTACGCAGGTGGAAGAATGAAAGACGCTCACTGTGATGCATCTATGGAAACTTGCCACATTTCTGTCCCCAGGAAACCATGCCAAGACATCACTGATTACCACTGGTCCTCTTCCTTTTCCATAGTTCACTGTTAAAATCTCTGCCATCCAACGCAATTTCCTTTTTGCAGACAAAGTCTCACAGGCCTACGCTGTGTCTCACGTATCTCGTTGCGTTTAAAGGACCACGAACAGATCTTTCCAGACTATGAAAACAAATTGTTCAAAACACCTGATTGAAAAGTCAAAAAAGTACCAGTGTCTGTCCCTGTAGCCTCCGCCAGGACCCTCAATTGGCCTGTAAGCTTCTGCACTGGGAGACTTTCCCTTGTGAGATTTACAGCACTGTAAACCAGGAGGTGAAAAGCAAAGACACCCACTGTGCCTATGAGGCCATCAGCAGCTTAGCCCCTCGTGGGATGTCAGACCTACCCAACTTTACTGTGTGCAGATTTCTCCAGCGGTCTGTCTGGTTGTTAGCATGTACATTATGAACACGTGTGAAGGCTCAGAGGCTCAGTGTCTTCCTCTGGATGTCCACAGCATAGCTGAAATCTGAGGGCACACAAGTTAAACCTTTCCCCACCTCCGGGGCAGTGAGCATCACCTCCAAATGAAGAGATCACTAAGAAGCTGTTTCATACACACTAGTCAGGAACAACTCATGCAAGGGATGAACAGCCTCAGATCCAGCTAAAGGTCGGATGTGAATGCAGAGAAGCCAGGAATTTCCTGACCTCCTTGTCTCACTCCTCCCAGAATGGCCTGAGCTAACAGGAAGGAGAGAGACTAGCTCATCTCTGAATCTTTCTCTTCATTGTTTGGGTCTGTGTAGCCTCAGCTGGTTTGGAGGAGAAAATGTTCTGGGAACTTCTCATCAGATACAGTTTGCTTGATAGACAGCTAGAGATAAACCTTTCTTTTTTTTCTTTGCTGCAAAAGTTCAAGATAATGACATTGCCACAGAAAAATGCTTTCCTATTGCTCGGCAAATGGCAGACTTCACCCTTAAACTGCTTTCTGTCATGGCAATTGTAAAAGTGGCTTGCCTGAGAAAAATCAGACAACAAAGGTCTTGATCTTCAAGTTGTTGTTCTGCAACTGGATCCCTTGTGCTGACCTTCACTTTCAGACAGAAGTCACATGCAACTCTGAAGCTCAGCAAAGGCACAGGGATCGCCAGCAGGATTACCATGGCTCTGGGCACCAAGAGGATGCTGAGCACTGGCAAACAAAACACACTGCTCGTAGGGTGTCAGGCATGAAAGACTGCTCATGCTGGCTTCCATTGCTGCCACAGCCTCTCTCATAGAGAAAAAGGACGTCACCAGGTACCCAAGACTTCAGCATGGGGAGTAGCAGTTGGCCAGACAAACCACCACCTGCAGTCTAAAATGGCACTCTTTCATTTAGGCAAGTGAATCTCCGTGACTTTCAGACAGCTCTGGGTAAGAGAGCTGTGCCACCCAGCCAGGCACTGACAGGCAGTGTGGAGCCCCTGGGCTACCAGTGATCCAAACCACTGTGCCTACACAAGGCCAATCCTCAGCACACTTACTGGTGTCCCACAGCAGCCTGGTAGCACAAACGCAGCCAGCCCAGCAGCATAAGCACCGTCTGGTACTGACTAGAGAAGCCAAAAAAACAGGAGGTAGAACTGTTCTGTGCTGATGCAGCCACACCACTTCCAGCTCTGGCACAGGCTCCGTCTGGGACGACTCAGGGCTCTGCACAACTGCTGCACTGTGCAATGAGACTGCTTTAAGGACCACCCCAGAACTTCAGCCCACAGCTTGCTGATGGGAGATAACGCCTGCAGAAGCATCCACATGGTCAGCTTTTATTCATCTTCTAGAACTATTTCATTCCAAACTCATTCCACTGCAACATGTTTGCTTACATGAAGACAAAGAGGACAAAAATCAACTTGTGGGACAAAACCATTAAAGAACCCACAAGAGGGTAAAGGACTACGCTGAAGTCTTCAAGAAGTTATCTCACATTCAGTGCAGGACCCCATTTCCATCAGCAGATTTCTGCAGAATAAATCAGTGGGCAGCAATTCCCTATTTTACTCAGCTCTTCAGATCACAACTGCTAGAATGCCAGTGGAAACTAGGAAGACACATAAAGATAGCACACTGGGACAAATCCGCAGCTGATGCAATCAGAAACTCTCCTCAAGTCAGCAGAGGTAGGGTAATTTACATGCTGGTGTCTAACTCTGGATGATTAAGTACAGAGATGCTTTGCTGGGAAAGGGCAATCTCTCATTTGATCCTAAGTATCATCAATCATTAGATTGCAGATAACAAGCAAGTTGAGTACATGTAAATTTTTCTCCAATCTGAAAAGCCCTCTGTCAGAGACTCTTCGTGGCCATTATTAAACAGCAGTTATAGTTCTAACAGGACAGAAATAGCTCTTTCTCTTTTGGCAGATCTGCAGCCTTTGCTTCTCCCATGTCACACAGATAAAAATAAGCCTCTAATGCTCCCATTCCTGGTTTTCCTGAAGAGCTGTAGGTCAGGAAAATAATGAACAATCAACTCTGTTCCAACAGCATAGTTCTGGCTTTTTTATAATTGAGAAACAGAAGGATTGAAGCAGTCCGCTCAGAGAAAGAGCAGCAACGGGGCCGTCCAAATTCCCCACAGCACCTCGTGACTGTATGGGATTTTTAACACATCGCTTTCTGAACATGGAATCCTTGCCCTGACACCACGATCTGCAATAAAAGATCTGCTTCCATCGGTTTCGATCAGCTCAGCTCAGCACGTAACGGTGCAGCACCGAGCGCCCAGCCCCTGGGCCCAGCCACGCACAGCAGGGTGAGGTCCCCCCCCGGCCCGCCTCGCCCTCACCACCCAGCCATGCCCGCTCCCCCATGGTAGCGCTGGTATGTGAGCAATTTTTATGAGAGCTAGTTCAAGGCGCTCTTTGGGTGGAAACCTAACACTTGTCGTGCACGAGCAGCCTGAGCCTGGTGGCTTATGTCTGCCAAAAATAAAGGGAGAGCCGCACGGACCCGGCCAGGTGGTTCCCGAGCGCTGCACAGCCCAAGCTGAGCGACCCCTCAAAGCCGGGGGAAGGCAGCTCTCTTGGGAGACCACACGGCTCCTCAAATCACAGAGCTCCTCCCAGCACACCTGAAAAACGCTGTTCGTTTCACCGTCCTGCAGCCTGGATAGCAACAAGATGTTTACATTCACACCCCAAAAGGACTCCTTCTGCCATCTTACCTGCGTTTGACCTCGTTAGATAATACCTAACTCTGATTTCCCTAGCTTGCCCTCATTTTTTAAGACAAACTTCACTCGATAGTTTGGCTTCCTGATACAAGTGGAATACACAATGCACATTTGTTTCACCCACTTCCCTCAGAAAAGAAGGGAAAGTCCCCCTCTCATGGAAAATAGCATCAAGTTTTTATTAGTGCTGGCTTTACCGTGATGATCTGAACTTTCTAAAGAGTGACTTGGTTTTATTTCTTCCTGAAGTGACTGAAATGTTAGCCATATTCTAAGCAAGTATGTCTAAAAATAATAATATCAAAGAATAACTCAAAAACTGTCTGCCCAGCAGAATTTAACAGGAAGAGGGATTGCAATTCTTTTTTTGAGTCTTTGGAAGCATTAAGTGGATAAAATGACTCTTCCACTTTTCAGTAACCAGTACTGTTTCCAACACCTTCAGAAACTCTCACTATTGCTACTGCATTCTAAGGGAATTCACATGCTGCAGGAGAGAGGTGCCTGGTGCTCTGACTCTCATCATGACAGACCCGAAAGAATGCAAGAGCATGAATCAGGGGGAGAACCATGAGTTACAAACAAAAAAGGCTCCTGTTTTCTCAGAGACGACAGAATAAACAATGATCAGAAGGAAACTGGAGGATGTGACAAAAAAAAAAATGTGGTTAAAGTTTGAAAAATACCAGCCTAGGCACAGAAGTTCATTTCTAAGATCCAGAGTCAATGCAAATACTTCAGAGATGCCTTTTGAATGACACGTTAAGTAGTCGTCTCCAGTTGCTGTCTGGGTTAGACTTTTCAACAGAAGCAGGGAAAATTTTACTAGCAATTTCCTACTCTCGTTAACTTATCCTGTGAAGATTCAGTTTCTGAATATTCAAGCTCACAGCATCTTCAACTAATTTGAATAGGAGGAGGATCAACTGGCAGGTCTGGTGGTGTTCAGAGACCTGCCTGTCACTGAAAAGAGCTCTGCACAAGGGCATGAATCCCAGCACTGATTTTGGTTCAGGGATTGACCTGAACAGTCTCAGGATGGAACTAACTTCACGTTACTTTATGTATCACATCTGGCCCATCCTACTTCTTAGCTCTGCCTCTGTAACCCCTGAAAAAAGAGATCAGCACTTCCAGGAGCTAAGTCTTCCTATCACAGAGAGGTAGGCAAAAAGGGATAGGATCCAGAAGTACTGTGAGTCACACGTGAAGATAAGACTGGCAGCAGGAAAGGAGAGGTAAAGATTAGCTTGGGCAGCAGACAAACACAGCCTTCAAATCTAACACAGGGTGGTGATTTCTGAACCCTAATCCAAAAACACACGCAGGTAAAGAAACCTGGCTGTGTCATTTAGGCTGCATGTGTAATGCATGAGTGTCAACTCCTGGAACAGAACAAAAACTCTCGCAGTGGATGTGTGAAATGAGCTGACCACGGAAAGCTTGTTCATAAATGCTTCCAGTTCATGCTGATACCCCTATGCTATAACACTTTGTAGCCATTGCATGCCATACAACAAATGCACACGTTATTAGAAAGCTGTGCCATCCTAGGTGACATCACATTCCATGGCAATCAATTCACACTGCCTGTCATATCACAGTCACTGAAATTTGCTCACCTGCTGAGATGCCTGTGCGGAAGGCCGCCTGCCCATCTCTTTTATTTCCATCTTTCCCTTTCCACCTACAATGCAAACATATCAAAATTAGTTCTCAAGCTTAAAGCCCTATATTTAGCTGAAAAAAATATACACAAAAGCACAACTGAACCACTGTAGTGCAATTCCATGCCTGATGTGGAATGGTGTAACCCTTATTCCCAGGCAATGCCAGCACTGGCAGTTTAGCACTGTAAACAGACTTCAGACTACCATCATCTAAATATAAAACATTAACCTCAACAGCTCCTGTCCGTGAGGTTAATACTTCATTTTTTAACCTGTCTTCCTAAGAAACAAGGATTATGTCAGTATATAATCTGTGTGAGTGGCTGTGTTGGACAGGAGCTTGTCCTCTGATTGATAACTCCTGTCCCTACTAGACAGTTTCCATAAAATTTGATTGTGGGGTCCTAAACTGCCTCAGAGCTTCATGAAAACAATTCGATGAGGCAAGAAGATACTGTTAATATCCCCCTAGTGGAAAAGGTGGCAGTGTGAGTTCACTCCTTATTAGTTATCAGAGAATCTGCAGGAGAAAGACTAGAAGAGGTGGCTTCATAGGCAGCCCAGCTCCTTTATTCCACTGCCTGAGGATCTCAGGAATGCTATTTACCATTTTGTCACTAGATGGTATTGTTCCACAGGCTATATTTGAGAGCCTCAAAGGTCAAACAGAGCATGGTACATCACCAGCTAGGCTTACTGAAGTGACAGAGGCTTTTTTTTTTTGTATATGTTCATGCATGCTTTCACATATGAAAGTTATTAGCAAAATCAAGCTGCAACAGCTATAGGAAAAGAGCCTTGGTGAAATGTAGATAATGTAATGTGGAATTGATGAACGATGCATTTCCTCTGTATCTGAAAAAAAACTGCTGAGATAAAAAGGTGGAAAGATACTGATAAAAAATTGAATGTTTCTGTTAACAAACCAAGCTTACACAAGAGGCCATTTATTATAGGTCACTCTGATCTCATACAAAATTGAATTAGTCTGACAAACTGTTCATCCATTTCAAAACAGCTGAGAAAATCTAAATATTATGCTAAGAGATTAGCTGTGAACACAGGCTCCTTCACTGTTGAAACTGAGCTTCTACCTGTATCTTGAAGGCAAAAAGAAGATGCTTCAGTTCCCAGGCCTGGATGGGTATAATTTCTGTCCTTTCCATGCTCATCTGACTCTGCTCTGACAGGGAGAGGGTTGTTCTGCAATGCAAATAATCCCTTGAATTAATAGCACGACTTAAAAATTATTCCCAGGAGGTAAATCTGCTGAGCTTATACTCAGCACTAACAGAGATGAGATTCACAAAACTCCTCAGCATGCTGCACTCCTACTCCCAAGCCTACAGAAGAGAGATTTACTGAGAAAGGCAGAAAATTCTGGCCCAAACAGTTTCCTGTCTTCAGGCAGCAGTTATGCTAAGGCTTGTTCACTGGCACTTGCCACCTGAAATTAAACTGCCAAGCCCGAGCTGCTGGTGCAGGCTGCCCCTTTGTTATTTCAGCTGAACTTGCTGTCTAATGATTGCCTGCTAAAGACAACCCCTACACTAAGCACCGAGGTGCTCCAGAGAAACTGGGCACAGTGCACAACTTTGGGATGGTTAGAGGCAGTGGAAGGAATCCCACCTGACTGCACAGATCTGGGAAAGAAACACCAAATGGAAATGCAAAAGTCTGCAGTTTCCTCCAGTTCTGCATGTGTGTGCTGTGGCTCTCTGTATAATCACTGCCCTCTTCTGGGAGAACACATTAGACTCAGTAAGCCAGTGGATGTGCTCAAATGAAATTCACATTATGCTAATGGATTTGCAGTCTCAGTGCTCAATCCAGTGCAGCAATGCTGCCCTGCACAAGTTTATTGAGCTAGGATTCTGAGCAAATGCTTTTTTTCCGAGTGTTTTGCTAGATAAACTCCATTCCTCCAACGAGAACTGAATAGAGTTATTTCTCTACCTTAGTGCTTCCCTCCTCTTCCTCTTCATCGCAGTCTAGCCCTTGATGGGAGATCTCAGTAGGGCTATTCTTCTGGATCAGGTTGCTTTCAACTCTCCCCATTCTTTTGTTTTCAGTTGTTACTTTCACCTTCAAGGTGTGGAACCCAGTGGAGACTGACCCTAGTTTCAAGTTGACAGGATCACCATCAAACAACAGGTCCCCAGGGTTGTCATCTTTCTTAAAGCCAGGTGGCTGGTAATCATCAGGAGTCACTACACACAGAGAAAGAACCCAGTGCTGTCAGAGAAACAAAGTTCCATCCCTCTTTAATCTGCTCTATGAAATACACACATCTACCAACCTCCAGAAACAACGCCAGCTACCAAAAATGTGTTGGGTGGTTATTTTTTTTGGAGGGAAGAAGGGAGATCTCAAAGGCAAAAAAAGAACTGAGCAAATGCTAACAGGTGGCTGAAAGAAACAGTAACTTTAGAATGCTGAGATACCATCAATGAGCACAACTTTCTGCATTATAAACCAACAAACAGGAGGTGCATGTTCCTTAAGAAACAAACAAACAGTGAAGAAGGCTGTCCTTTTCACACTGCAAGGTTGCACTTCTTATACGGATTTACAGTCCCTTCTCAAAGCATCTGCCATCCCTGTGAGTCTAAGGGATTCACTACATTTTACACCATTTCCCACTGTATCAGCTAATAGCTCCTACCACCTCACTGCCATTTCACCTTTCTGAGGTTTATTAATTTCACGGGGCTCGTGGTTATCACAGAAACTGATGGAAAGGGAAGCTCCCCCGGCAGCACACGCAGCTATCCACCTACCATCATTGTAATAGAGGAGCTTCATGGTCAGGGAAATGTCATTGGGAAGTGGGCCCAGGTTCTGCATTAGCAGGTACAGCTTACGGATCAGGAGGCTGCAGGCTTGCTTCATGTCCTCGCTGCACACTCCATTCACAGAGTTCCTCCCGTTGCTACAATGGGAAGCAGAATAACAGAGTTGTTTTTCCTCAGTCATGAATATTCAAGATCCAATTACAAATACAGTGCACCCACTGACTTGTCTCAAAGCACCAGTGAGAAAGCTACAATGCCCTCGTGTAATTTCCAGATAAACAGGGAAGTGAAACAGACTCCTGGGATGGAGTGGCATCAGGAAAACAGCAGCTCTAAACGAAGTGGCATGGCATTTACATTTGAAAAGACTTTGCAGTTAGGGCAACGGACCCCCATTGTACAAATATCGTGACTCACTTGTTCGAACATGATTAAAATGGATCAAAGGACCATAAAACAAGTGCCTTTCACCTAAGCAATTCCAGGAATGAGAGGAATGAGGTGAAAATCCCATCTAGAGCTGATTCATCACCGTGGCTATTTTCAAGTCCATTTTGCAGATTGAAGAGAAGTGAATTCCATGTTCTCACTTCAATTTCATGTAAGAAAAACTAGCTCAGAAGTGCATTTTTCCAGAGTGACTAAGGGGCATTCCTCTCACCTCCTTCACCCATCCAAATGTCAGCTGGCTAGTCTAAGCAAGCAGTCTAGACTGAGATAACCGTGCAGCAGCAGTGGGATGAATTGCCCTCTGGAGGAGTTCGTTTCTCTTGACAACAGAGGTTGATGAGATGAGCAGCTTAGATCAGGCTGCTAACTTTAGCCAGTTGGAGGCAAACTGGATGAATCACTAAGAGAGCGAGGAACCTACACTTCCTTAACATTCAACAAGAAAGGGCCTTAAAAATAGTAGCTCCTCCACTATAAAACTGTGTCTTTGGATGATGCCATAAGCAGACTGGATGGTATCTAACAAAATCTAACAGAATCACCACAAATTATTTCCAAAGCAGAAAGGAACAAATGACAGTGGGGAGAATGCCAGGGCTGAGTATGACTGATTAAATCACTGCTTCTGTAAGATGGATTTCCCCTTCCAGCTGGAGCATTTCAATACGAAAACTGAGTGGCTGTTGAACAGTTTGTATTCCCAAGGTTATGTAGGTTATGGTTTGATAAGCTCCAACAACGAAACCCTTGTGCTGACCATGCTGTGTTATTAAATGGAATCTTGTATGTTCTGGAACATGTATGGGAAGTGAGAGAGCTAAAGATGGCAGCATCAAGGTGGAATAAAGAGAAACCAGGCCTTTTCTTCCACATCATCTTCACAAGTCTTGGGATTAGCAGAGTAGAAAGCACAGAAGAAAGAGTATATACAAAAAGACAGGAGAGCTCCATAGGAGGTAACAGGCCAAGTTCTGGTTCAGTATGAGAATAACACTGGGTTTGATGCAGGAGTGTGCCAAAAGGTAGGAATCAAAGAACTGAACCTCTCTGAAAGACTGGGATCCGTGGCCAGAAACTCCTCCAAAAATGAATCTAGAAAAGGGCAGAGATCATCTAGGAGAACGTTTTCCTTTGCCACTCGTACACAAGGACACAGACACATTCCTTGAGGGATGATTTGCTCTGGGTTGGCATGTGGCAATAAACCTTGCAGGTGCATAACAGTAGTTTTATCAACTGAAGGAGCTGACAGCAAAGATGACACAATAGTTTGATCAATGCCAGAACGTCAGCTTACAAACGACTGCAGGTACATACATGACCTGGTGATAGCAATGTCAGTCACAGGGGAAACAGAACAGAGCCACAGCTCAGGGAATCTGAGGCCTCAATCTCTGAACCCTCAGCACAGCACTGAGATTTTGAAGGAGCTGATATAAACAGAACAGAAAAGATAAAGAGGAGCCTCTTCTTGACCAGTACTACGGACATCAACAGATGCTGCGTTCTGCTGGGGAACTGGCTAATTATTTTTCCTTGCTTTGGTCATAGTTAATAGCTTTCGACAGTATTAAGTTTAAACTAAACAGGATTTTGCCCCACTAAACACAGCTGTCAAATATCTAACAGGGCCAAGAGGATGCAAGATGCTGCTGCTTCCTGCCATAAGTTCTGCAGCATCAACACAGGCATGATCAGAGAAAGACCTCCCAGGCCACCCTGCTAGACCACGGGAACAGAACGCATGCATGCAAATGCCCATGGATAAAAATACTGGGAATGAGATCTTCATTAAAAGGATCAAATTCGGAACAGCCTCATTGGAAAGCACAAGGCTCTCCTGTGAAACTGGAAGAACACTGCTGCTAGTTGAGATGGTAGCAGGCTCAACAAATGTGTTGGTTTCTCCACTGCTACACTGACTTGGTGTGATTTCTCTAAGTTGCTTTTCATTCAGTTCTGATGCACTTCAAGTGCCTCACTGCGCTACATAACAGCATTTCTATTCACCAGCTTGCATGTTTGTGTGCTGCAGAGTGACTATCCTCAACTCTGATGATATTTACTGCTGAGCTGCTCAGACATGCTATCATCATGAAGGGCAGCTTCTTCCTCAGGCTTCAGGAACACCTGCCTTTCAAAGTGCAATTCTGAGCAATAAACCCAAACCATTACCTGATGATGTCCATCTCGGGCACCTCCTGTTTGTACTTGAACTTGAATTGATACAGTTCAGTCACTGTCTGGAGATTTAACAAGAGCAGGAAAAGAAAAAGCAAACGTAAAGATGTGTTCTGAACTTAACAGGGTCTTTTCAAGACTTTATAAGAACACAGCATTAATCTAATGAGATGTTTATAGCTGAAGCTCCATTACTGCTTGCATAAGTGTTGGTAGGTTTTCCTTAACAACCACAACTTACCTAGCACTGAAATAATCACAGAAAAATTGTAAACTTCCAGTCTCCTCCTTCTATTTCCTCTGTGGGCCTGACTCCCCAGCCCTGTCCTCTAAAGAGACACCAGGGCCAGCTGACCTCACAGCATCTGTATGTCCTCCCTCACTACTAAAAGGAAAAATGTCAGGCTTCACGAGTGATGCAGCATCATGGGGAAGTCTGGCCAGAGTTCTGTATAGAGACAAGAGCCCGCAGGACAGTTTCCACAAGGAATTTAAACTGTATTGCACAGGGATTCCGAGTTTCACTGGTCTCAATGTTTACTAAGAGATTAAAAAGTATATACTTAGATGACATCCCATGTAAAAGAAAATGATTTGCTATGATTTTAGAGAAAACAACCATTAGGAAGAACAAACTTCAATACAACAGGAAGGACATACTGCAGCCCAATGTCATGTCTATCATTGGCTTTTCTGAGGCAGTGAGGTTGACTGGGAGGAGTCAGGTTGAGTTCTTAAGAAATCCCAGCACTTCCTCCCTCCCTCCCCAGATGCTGAGGTGCAGCGGGGCAGAACTGCAACGCCGCAGGCAGGCCCTGCAGCCATTCCTCATGTGTGCTCTGTGGAGAACGAATGGATGCAGAGCCTCACTTATATACTGCACTGCTAAGACTGCTGCCACAGGCTAGACAAAATAGCAGAGGTGGCAGTGCAGTGGAGAACACAGAAAGGATAAGCACACACACACTGTGTAACTCATGCATCCCAGCTCTGAAGCGATTTGTAACTTCTGTCCTAAACCTCTCTGCATGAAAAACAAACAAAAAAAAAGAACCAACAGATCTCTTCTCACTACTCCTTTCAAAAAGATAATAAAAGAAAAAGAGAATACAAGAATGATTCTGAACTTCCCAGTTCTTCCCTCAGGGAAGAAAAACAAAATTGAGAACATGCCCATTAGTAGCCTGTTAACATCCCTGCCTGAGGCCCTAGATGCCCGGCAGGAGTGTTTGATCACAATCCAGCTCATTGAGCTGTCATTCTTGAGTGAAGGCAGAAGAAGAGAAACCAGGTCACCAAGCAGCAGTGTCAGGGTAGAATTTAAGCCCACAAGTCCATTCTGAATAAAAATCTACTCACCCATGCCTTCGGTTGCCTCAAAGATTAATTAAGACTCTTTCTTACCTCCGGTTCCTCGGGATTGGTGTACATCTGTTGTAAGAAAGCACAGTGAGCACATTCTGCCCTTGGGTAACATGAACCAGTGAAAAAGGACTATAAACAATGTTATTTCCAAGTTACAGCCGAGATTGTGCTATCTGTAACACGGGATCAGAGAAAGGAATGGCTGAGACACGGCCTTCCTCTATCAGCAGTCCATACTTAGCACTTCAAAGACAGGTAGAAGACTCACCTGTGTAATTCTAGAGGAATGAGGTTGATTCCCATTCCAATCCTCACAGGTAACATTGATGCCTGAGATTTAAATGCTCAGATTATGCACACAGTAGGTGTGTAGAACGGCTATTGCTGCTTTACAGAGAACCAGGGCAAAAGACTCCCGATGCAGCTGCTAGCGTGTGGTTTCCTCGGCATCAGATTATTAAAGCAAACTCTTATGCACTGAGAAAACACAGCAGCTTCCTTCCTCCAAGGATCAAGGCCAGAGTTTGCGGGAAGAAATGATAGAAAGTGTTTCCTGGGCTTTAAGGATTCATGTAAGGCTTGAGAGTCAGAGGTCTGACATACAGAGAAAACGTTCCCACGCAGCCTAGGAAGTTCATATTTAAGAAAGGTCATCACTCTATTAAAAACCACATATATTTTGACTTCCCCTTATAAAAGGCATTTATGGTTTGACACAACATTGACTCCAAATCTCTGTCAAGCACGGTGGGAGAAGAAAAACGTCTTGAACTCGTTTACTTACTGCTAGGACAGCAACATGTAGCTAAAGAGAGAGAGAACAAGAGAAAACAGAAGGCAAAGTCAGTATCTATCCTGAGTGGGTGAGGACAACATAAGATAGCAAAATCGAACTGCCAACACACATAGGCACATTCAACAAACTGAGTCACACGTCTTCATGCAGACTCTTCACAGCACAGCAGCAGCACCTAGTGGCCGGTTCGCTGGCTTCACATGCACTTCCCCAAGAAAGCAACGACATGCTCAGACTTCCTTCCCTCCTGGGACTTTTTCTAAACAAATATTCAGAGCCTATGTCAACTTAAAACACTTTCACAATAGCACCCATCCCTACCGCAGAATAATATTTGTTCACTGATACAAGACACATCAAAGGTGTTTAATTCACGCTATAGCAAGAAACTGTACGTGGGAAAGGGTGAGAAAGCAATCCTAGAGCACCCACTAAATACCTGTTTTTCTCTTAACCTTTGTCAAATAATAACTACATTATGTCTCTCATAAATAGCAGAGGGCTACATTCCTCCCAGAACTGTCAGCAAGCAATAAGCAGTTCACATTTTGCACACTGTATGCACAGTGCCAGTCGTACTGATTTTAAGAGCACGTGCAATCAGCAGAGCTGAAACTAACACAGCTTCATCTGATCTAGATGAGAGTTAACTTGAGCAGTGCTGACAGAGATGGTAATTGGTCCTTTTTTCTGTACGTAGCAATTTTGTGTGTGTGTGTGAGAATCAGCAAGAAATATGATTACTTACTGGCTGGTTTTGTTCTGAAACCAGATAAACACATTACCTAATGAATGGCCTTATTAAAAAAAAAAAGGAATAAAATCCAAACCCAAGAGAAAGCTAAGAGGGTTAGAGAAGAAAAAGGGCAAAAGCTTGAAGAAAACATGATAGAAAGCAGAAGCATGAAAGAATCTTTCTCAAGAAAACAGGCATAGAAATCAGGACCTGCAAGTTCTGACTGGCACTGTCTGTATTCAGACACTGGAGAGTGCAAATGCAGAACACAGAACAAAGGGGAATCCCTTCCAGGCTGCAAGTGCTCATGCCATGTACAGGCAAGTCCAGAGAGCTCCAGTCAAGGTTTGGTTGGGCTCAAGGAATAAAATCCCAAACCTCAGATTTTTATTCTCTGGGCAGCTCTCCCTTTACTCCACAGCTGTAAATGCTGTGTGTATGCAAGATCACTACAGAAGGAGGAATGAAAATACAGTTCTGTCCATATTTTTGAAGAAAAATAACAAAGTCCATTGAAAAGCAAGAACAAACTTACATACTGCTTCTCCAAAGCATCAAAACAACCTTGAATCCTGCCAAGGAAAAATGTTTTAGTGCTAACCAGCGATGCTTATCTCATGGTCTGTAAAAACACAACTTATCAGATACAGTTTAAAGTCCATGTTATTCTGGAAGACAACACAGCCAGTAACATTCTGGTCTTGTAAAGTCCTTTTCCAGGTCAGCCATCAGAATGAACCCGCCTGCCCTTCAAAAAGCATTTGTGTGTTGTTTACACATCCTGAGCCAGTCAGCCTAGAGCCCACTTCAGTCCTGACAGCGACAAGGACCTGAGGCCAAAGCTCACAGCTCCATTTTGGCCCCCAGCTTGCTCTCCAGTGGCCCTTTTCCCGATGACTGTGTACAGAACTTGGCTGAAACTTCAATCTGAACACAGCCTGACGTGCCTGGACTCCTACATTTTTGCTATCTGATGTACAGCTCACTGCTAAGGATGTTTTCAAAGCAGTAGGTATTACTTGAGGCAGCAATGGTCAGATGTTTACTTATTGAGCCCTCGCAACTGCATATCTCCTTATCAATTCAGACTCTGCTTGTTGGGAACACACTAATTCTGAAATGCACCCTTAATAATACACAGAACAACTGTAAGGTACCTAAACACACAATATTCAGGGAGGTAAAATACTGTACTTACTGAAAAACAAGCCACAAGAATCACTATAAAAGTGAAACTGGAAAATATGAGACAACAGCAGAATCAGTCTCATGATTTTCTTTACTCTCACTCCCTACCTACGCTGCCTGTGTGTGCTTTGGAGCCTGACCATGACCTCACTAAAGTCAACACTCCAGCAGGCCCTGGCTTCACATGATCTCTGTCAGCTAATTCTGTCTTGCTTACGCACAGGGCCAAGCACACACACTGCAGCAGAGTGAGTTGCACAGGCATATCCAATAGTGCTGCTGGGCACAGTGTTTTCAAACTCAGGAAGAAGAAGAATGTGAGGGGTAGATGTCTTGCTGTTCAGCACAATCTTGTCTTAGTTTCACTGTTACTCACTTACCACTTGACTATCTGAAACGATCCCAGACAGCTTTTATCTTCTCGTAGAATTTTTAGACAGAGGTCTGCAAAACCAAATTTAGCACATAGTTACCATCCTTATCACAGCTATTGGGCAAATGCTGAAACCACCCCAGCTATCCTCCCTTTTTTGGATAAAATACTTAATCTGGAGGTTCTTCCTAGCGGAAATGTTGGTTTTCCACTGAGTCCCAGGTGGGCTGACACAAGCTTATTGCTGCATTTTCAAATGTCAAAGACTTTCCTCAGATGATCTGGGTCCTGACAGAAGTCTAGAGTTGGCTTAATTCTGAAAAGCCAACAACTTCCCTTCTCCATGCCCACCAACTCTGGTATTTCCACAAAACACCTTCACTTCTGCATTCTCAGACTTCACCAACATCTCTGTGAGATTAATGCCTGTAGAATAAAATAAACTACTTCTGATAACATTTTTCACCTAGTTCCTTCTGCCTGTGTTTTCAGGCATTCAGAGCAAGAAGAAACACATCCTGAAAATGAAGAAGTGAATTTGTAACACCTTAGGAGTCAACCAAAGAGCCCTCAAAAGCATGAGCAGGTCAGATGTCAACATTCTTGATCAAAAAGACACTTGAAAGACCTGACATTTGATTAGAAGGACCAGTGGCTATTCAGGGTTTCCTCAAAGCCCATGAAGTGCATGTAGCCTTGTTTCAGGATAACTACCAGCTTAACTAAAAACATGCAACTAAAGACTGCAATAAATGGAGACATTTCACACCCCGCTAACATATCTCAAATGAACAAAAAGATGCTGATGAAGCAAAGCATCACTATCTCTTAATATGGAGGAGGCTCAGTGAGACCTTATTGCCCTCTACAACTCCCCAAAAGGAGGCTGTGGTAAGTTGGGCTCTGCTCTTCGCCCAGGTTAGTAGTGACAGGACTAGAGGGAATGGCCTCAAGTTGCACCAGGGGAAGTTTATGTTGGACATTAGGAACAATTTCTTCTCCAAAAGAGTGGTCAGGCATTGGAACGGGGTGCCCAGGCTGAGTCATCATCCCTGGAGGTGTTCAAGAAATGTGGAGGTGTGGTACTAAGGAACAGTGGGCAACACTGGTGGCAGGTGGGCAGTTGGACTGGATGACCTTAAAGGTCTTTTCCAACCTTAATGATTCTATGATTCTTGTGATCCTACAGTAAGTCTCACAGCAATATTTTTCTTCATTAAAGTTCTGACTGTGGTTCTCTTGATAGTTCTGACCAAGCACATGCAATTATGTGAGCTAGTCAATTTTCACAGAAAGGAAAAAGCAATTCTACTTTCTATCTAACAAAGCAAGCCGAAAATTTGAACCCCAGGGGCTCAAAAATCCAAAGGAAAATAACATACACCAATCGGAGCTAATTTTTAAATACTCAGCAACGTCTAAGTCAAGCTCCTGACCTGAGGCCTGACTCAAAGGGCTGGCAATAGCAAGGAACAATTATAAACCAAAAGAAATATGAATAGGAAAGCCACGAGTTGCCAATAGCTCTAGGTCATCTTCTGTGCTCTCTATCTGATGCAGAAGCACTACCTGTATCAAGACTTGAGAAGGCCTATTAGCTACCTTCCCAATAGACTCAAGTCACACATAAATGAGCAGCTGGAAGGTAATCTGTATTACCTGATAATTGCTAAAATATAGTGAGTACGAATAAGAATTCTGAACAAACTGCAAGGGTTACCATCTAAATAGCGTGTTCCATAAGAACTCTCAGGGAACAGCCCTCTCAGGTATGTTATGCAGGAGACAGAGATGGCCAGAAGTCTTTTCACCAGCACCACAGACTGCTGCTTAGTAGTGATTTTGTTGGGGAACAACAGAAATTCCTGAAAAAGAAGGGCAAGGATTACACTTAGAAACGATTCTTAGCAGTTAGGAAGGGTAACTTTAAAAGATAATGTTAACATTTCCCTGGTCTTCATATTACACAGAGAGGACTCATGTCTAACAAAGTTTTTCAAGGAGAGTTACTGACATGATTTATTCAGCTGCAGACCACATGTGTCATTATTTCCTCTCTAATATGGCTGAACATTCCTACCCCTCCATTGCACCCACGCAGGCATTTAGGAATGCCTTAGAATCAAAAGCGTGCACCGTTTTGTGCCAACTGCTGAGGTGCTCACTTCCTTACCAAAGTTCCCTGCCTGCTACAGCTTTGTGTGAGCTGTGACAGCAGACTAAGCCTGTCAGCACTGTAGGCAGACCTAGTTTTCAGAGCGATTTTAACACAGAGATGTAAACAGTACATCTAAGATTGGAGCTAATGTAAATACTAAACACTGCATGATTTAAACAGGAAAAATCCCAGTGGAAAGGACACTAAATTTAGCTCCCCTATTAGGTCATTGCCTTATTTCCTGCTAATGAAGTTCTGTGCACGCCTAATGAGCCTTTACTTATTAAGCCAAATATGTCAAAACTTCATGCTTCCTGGACTCATTAAATTGGAAATATCTGCTTTTTAATTCAACTAAGAATAACACGGTCTTCCCAGCTCACAAGATACAGACATGCCAGGCTCAAAACAGGGAGGCATTTCAAGATTTTTACCTTAGAGGACTTATTCTTCGGCCTACTTAAAAGCTGACAAGTGGCCATCATGTATTTCAAAGAGCTGTCTTCCACTTGTAGTCAAAACCTGAAAAAAAAAAACCCACACCAAACATGAGACCCCTGGAAAATACACAATCATTGCACTTTTCATCTTCCTTAAAGATGAAAAAGAACCTTTCTCCTTAAAGAACCAGATTCATCGGGCTTATTCAGATCTAAGAGATTTGCAAAGCAAACTGTGGCTACTCTATGGCTAGAAGTGTGCAGAAGAACTCTCACTATTCACCAGTAAACCATTGGGGCTACTTGATATTCAGGGCCACAGCTGTACCTGGTGTCAGCCACTGCTCTTTTAAATCGCATTTCTCATATTCCAAGCCTCAATGTTAATTCCTACAAGCATTAAAAAAAGAAAGAACTGGAAGCCTGCCAGCAGCAGCTGGTATTTTAGGAAGAGTGAGCAGGAACCACATTAACATCAATCCTGGCCAGAGCAAACCAAGGCGCCAAAGCACCGGCTGCCATTAGGCCACGCGCTGCACCTGCATTGAGGCACCAGGGCAGCTTACAGCCACAAAACCCTATTTGACACCTGTGAGCCTGCAAGGCTTTCAATATTTACGCATTCAACAGCTTAGGATTCTTTATGTTTTAAACCATGTTTCACTACACGCTCTCTGGCCAGGTCCGGAATGCAATTGAAGCAAACAAATGTCTGCCTGTGAGCCACCTAACAATGTGATAATGGTAATGCAATGTGTTTTCTACAGCGCAGCCTGTTTACAGTCGATTTACACACAGTGGAAAAGCCTCCTCGGCAGCTCCTCGGGGCCTCAGAACACCACAGCAGCCGGCCCACAACGGCACGGTGCGGAGGCAGCGCCGCTCACCCCAAGCGCGGGCTCGCCTCAGCGCGGCGCCATCTTGGGGGCGGCCCGAGCGCTACCTGCTGGGGGCGGGCGAAGGAGGCGGCTGGGCGGGCGGTTGAGGGGACGCTGCTGCAGCCCCTCGCAGCTCCCTCAGTAAAATTCCCCCAACCTCTGCGCTAAATCCCCCTTCCTTTAGCTGACAGACCATTCCCTTATCACTGCCTACCCGTGCAAAAAGTTGATTTTCCACTTGTTTCTAAACCCCCCTGATATACCGGGAGGTCACAGTGAGGTCTCCCCACGGCCTTCCCTTTTCCTGGCTGAACAAGCACGGTTCCTTCAGCCTGCCTTCATTAAGAGAGGTGCTCCAAGCCCTTGGATTATCTTTGTGGCCCACCTCTGGATAGGACAAGAAGTGATTTCAAACTAAAAGAGAGGAGTTTTAGACTGGATATAAAGAAAATAGTTTTTTCATTGAGGGCAGTGAGGCTCCGGCAGCGGTTGCCCAGCGGGCGTCCCTTCTCTGGGAGGTCAGGGGACGGGGCTCTGAGTTACCTGACCAGCTGTAGGCATCCCTGCTCGTTGCAGATGGACCAGGTGGCCTTTAGGATCCCTTCCAACTCAGATGGTTCCATGGTTCGTGCTGCAGCCAGGCATATCCCCGCCTTTAACCCCATGCACAAGTCTCCAACATCCGTGCTTGTAACAGCACGCTGGTGTTTGGAATAGTGGCACTGCTGTCAGCGTGTCACCACCCAAGTGGAGGTGCAGGTTTTACATTACTCAAAGCCAGAAGGCATTCTTAGGGTTTCCAGGTACAAACCTAGGGAAAAGGAGACAATATTAGACCGACTCACAGAATCACAGAATCGTAGGGGTTGGAAGGGACCTCCAGAGATCATCGAGTCCAACCCCCTGCCAAAGCAGGTTCCCTACAGCAGGTCGCACAGGTCGGCATCCAGGCAGGTCTTGAACATCTGCAGAGAAGGAGACGCCACCACCTCCCTGGGCAGCCTGTTCCAGTGCTCCTCACCTCACTGCACAGCCGTTCCTTCGCACGTTGGTGCAGAACTTCCTATGCTGCAGTTTCCGGCCGTTTCCCCTTGTCCTGTCTCCACTCACCACTGAAAACAGTCTGGCCTCGTCATTCTGCCCCCCACATCTTAGATACTGATAGACCTGGATCAGGTCCCCTCTCAGTCTCCTTTTCTCAAGGCTGAACAGACCCAGTTCACTCAGCCTATCCTCGTAGGAGAGATGCTCCAGGCCCCTCACCATCTTCGTGGCCCTCCGCTGGACTCTTTCCAAGAGATCCCTGTCTGTTTTGTACTGGGGAGCCCAGAACTGGACGCAGTGCTCCAGATGAGGCCTCACCAGGGCAGAGTAGACTCCATGACATCGGAGACTTCACAAGAAGTAGATTATTTCTGGAGCTTCTGTCACAACTCAGGGATCCAAGGAAGATGAGTCCCCTTTTATTAACCAGTACCTTGTTTACAGAATCATAGAATGGCTTTGGTTGGAAGGGCCCTTACAGCCCCAGCCCCAAGCCCTGGGCTGGTTGTCCCACCAGCTCCCATCCATGGCCTGGAGCAGCACTGGGGACGGGGAATGCGCAGCTCTGTGCAGCCTGGGCAGGCACCTCACTGCCCTCTGAGTGAAGAGTTTCTTCCTAACATCTCGCCTGCCAAATAATATAGGATAAGATCGTAATGTGGAATAATAAGAATAACCTGCCTAAACTATTTCTTCTCATTCCCAGGAATTCCGTAAGTTTTTCTTCTCATTTTATGACAATTTCCAAACTCATTATTCCAGGCAATCCACTGGGGATGCTGCTGGATGCACACCAAGGCTGGTCCCTCGACTCTGGGAAATTTGGACGATGATTTGCACAATTGCTATGGACAGACACAATGTTTTCTGAGTACCTGTGTTTTCCAGGCCCTTTTCTGATCTCCTTCCAAAGACCTTTGCCCTAGTTCAAGTCAACAACAGCTGCTGAAAAGCTCCTCCCCAAGGGAGGAGAAAAGACAGGGTTCATTTTCAAGAATAATATGACAGCGTTAGAAGAAAACACGATGCAGTGAAGGTGATAGCTGTTGGGGTGACGTGCTGAAGCTTTGCAGTCATGTTTACTTTGGCTCTGTGCAGACCTGGTGCTACCTGCAGGCTGCGTCACGGCTGGGACAGGTGCCAAGCCTGCAGTTGTAGAGGATTCAGCACAACGGCAGGGCAAGGCCAGCAGGTCGGCCTGCAGGAGAAGCAAGTGGGAGCAGACCTGGAAATGCCTGTTGCAAGAAGAGAAGCTGAGACCCTCTTCCAAGAGCGGCCTGAGCCCGGGAACCAGTATTTGGAGGATGCTTTGCTTCGGAGTTACCTGGAGGCACACCTTCCTCCCAAGGTCTGACGTGTGTGTGTGTGTGTGTGTGTACACACTGCAGTGCTGGCTGGGTCACTGTTTGTGAACAGAACCTTTCTCTGAACCCTTCCGTGCCTTCCGTGTTTAACTGGGGGGAATTTAGCAGCGTTCCTTAAAACTTGTTGTGTGTGTAAGGGTGAAAAACACTTCCAGGACATAAGCAGAAATAGAAAGGGCCTAGTGGGCTCCTCTGGTCTGGGTGTTCCTGGAAGAGTGTTTGGAAATTGTCAGTACATTTGTTGTTTGGTGTCATCCAGAGTAAGAAATTTCACAGAAAGGGAAAAAAAATGGAGGTACATCCCAAATCTGCTGTGCTCTTCCCCTTCCCTCTCTCTGGGGAAGCAGGATTGTCAAGGAAATCCCTTGCCAAAGTAACAAGGCTGATCTCAGCTGTAAGCTGAAGAGGATGCAAAGGTCCTTTGGGAATTGCTGTTTCTCAACAACAGTCCTTGGCTTTTCTGAGTTGATATTCAGAGAGCAAAGGCTCAGCACAGAGCTGCAGGGGCTCAGAGAGGAGGAGCAGCAGCCCGTGCTGTGCTGTGAGGTTCCATCCCTCAGGAAGCCCTGGGCTCCCTGCACTGCCTGTGCTCTGCCTTCCCCCCCTAGGGACTGCAATTTGCCTCACTTGCTGAGGGTCAGATCTCACGGAGCTGGGTGTGACCTCTGTGTTTCATTGCAGCAGAAGCAGAGCCCGTAAAGCCACTGTGTGAGTAAAGGAGACGTATCCTGGCTGCCAGCAATGCTCTTCCTGCTTGGTCTGCAGGTCAGGAAGGTCTTGGGGCAGTAAGAGTGTAACAGGAGCACCATGAGCTTGCTGTTGGCACTGCCGTGATGGAAGACAGGAATGAGGCATCTCCAAGCAGTGGAGAAAGGCTGTGGCCTTTCTAAAGGAGGACGCTCCTACTCTGCACCTGACTCTTCCCATTTCCTGAAGAACTGAGAGGGTCAGAGCTGCTCTCCACTCCTTCCCCAGGGAGACAAAGCGGCTGCAATACCCACATCAGCAGATCTCCCTTCCATTTCTGCCTCTGGTCCCAGCGGGGCAGTGTTGCCTCGCTCTGCTCTCAGCCTCCCGCAGCACCGCCTTGCCCGCAGCCCGGGGCTGCTCTCCATGCCAGCACTCCCCTCTCCCGTCCAGGACAGCAGCAGCCGCAGCGTGGCGCATCGCCCTGAGGCAGACACCGCTACAGTGGGTGTTGATTCCTGTCGTGCTATTTACCCGTGTTTAGCGGTGAACATAGAGATGTCTCTGGAAGGGAGCAAGGGATTTCTTTGTTTGAAGGTGATTTCTGGAGAGCACAGCAGGAAGCACCTGCTGGGTTTTTTTAAGCGCAGTTTCGAGATACCCACTGATCTTTGAGCCCTCTGTAAAGAAATCTCAATAGCAAGGCTCATGTGTTTGTGCTCTCGGTGTGTTTTCACTCCGTTCATCCCTGGAACATCAAAGCACTGATTGGGGTGAAGGAGACCAGCTGCTGGCTGCTGCAGCTTGGAACCTCATGGTTTGCAGGTGCCCCAGCAGCAGTGCGTTATGCACAAACGTAGCAGCTCTGATTTTGTTCTTTTCCCTTGGAAATAAACACTGTTGGGCAGGTCTGTAGGTCAGGAGCAGAGCTCACGGCTTGGTGCTGTGGTTTCTTTTTTTTTTCTTCTGAAAAAACAACGTGTGTTGAGAGGATGGAGACTTCCAGGCTGGACAGCGTGTGAAGGGTTCTCATTACACAGAGCAGTGGAAGGATCAGTCATACGGGATGGAGTGTGATGAAAAGTCAATGCAAGGGGAAGCAGGGAAAG